AATTTTGCTACTGTTATGAATCGTAATGTAAATATCTTTTTGTTTTCCGATGGTCTTAGGCGACCCCTGTGAAAGGGTCGTTCGACCCCCAAAGGGGTTGCAACCCACGGGTTGAGAACCGCTGACATAGACCATCCAAACAACAAGCTTCGTTAATTCTACTCTACCACTGACCATGAATGTGAAAGAAATCTTGTATAATTTCTGATCCTTAACATTTTCCCCATATCATCTGAGATAATGAAATCCTTTTTTGCACCATTATATATGGATTACTTTACATCCTAATACTTTTCTTCTCTACCCATGTCTAACCTAAGATATTAGGGAGGTTTCTTTTATCTGTAAATAAATACCCTAAAAATAACACAATGAAAATACACTATTGCATCCTTTCTAAAACTTTGGATATTTAGACTTATTCCAAAGACAGCAAATTATATTGAGATGAAGCTCTTCTTTATTTTTCTTCATGGTAATAGGACACTTGTCCAAAGAACTACTAGGCTAGAAATGATGTACATATATAAGTAATACATTCACTTGTAAATTTTCAACATTGATAGCTTATCTGATAAAACAGGAGTCAGGAGCTAAGTTTTTTTTATAACTAGTAAGCTTTAAGAGCTTTCCATTTTAATTAGTAGATGAAGCAATAGGAAGAGAATCTTAGGAGATCAAATTCTTGTACAGATGTCATAAGACCTACCTGACATTGACTTTGATCTAATAATATTAAGACAGAGTTTTGGTCATGCCATTTCCCTAGTTGCTAATTAGTCTGAAACTCGAGGATCTGCTGATAAATGAATGTGCCCCATGCCACCCTTCAGTGTGGTCTCTCAATCTCTGCATGCCTTTTTGCCTTTCTCAAGTTTGCAAACACAAGTGCACACTGGGTAGGTATTTGTTATCCTTTAGCTTGTCCTTGAACACTTCTGAGTGTCCGCTGATGTCTTTGATCTGGAGAAAAGCTTGATTAGACTCCTTTACCCCACCTCCACCTAAGAGATTTGCTTTCACTTTCATTAGCAAGTTGGTTTTGGCTGTAAGTATTTTTTTTTTTTGGAAGGCCAGTGGTAAGCGACGTGATCCTCTACTATTATTGCCTCCCTGTTGGGATTTTGATTTGGGAAAAATACCTAAAGAACTCTATGGAAACATGGGCATTGTTCTTGTTATTTTTACTTGTGGACTCTTTCTGCTTATTTATCGTTGTAGGTCAAAGAGGAAGGTCTGTTAAGGTTTCACAGGTCTCTTAGGCCTTGTGGTGTTTTTCTCATCAAATACCTAGATATTTAGATTAGGACCCAACTATCTGACCAGGAGCCCTTTAATATTATATGGTGTTGTTGGATTACATTTTGAAGGTACATTCATTCATTCTTCTCTTGGAGGCTTAGGATGTGCATGATGTTATTTAACTCATGCTTTTAGGAGGCATGTATTGTAATTGTCCTTCACTCAAAACAAGTCTTACGACAGGAAACTTTACCTGGCCATGCAGGTCACATTTGTTGGTTATGATGGCGTTAGTGTGATTCATAAACAGTCTTATCTTGGTTAGAGGCTGGAAGACACTGAAGCTTCAACTAGATGATATCAACTTTCTTGAGGTCTTACTTTTCTATTTTTTGGCAGCCTCTAATAGAAATTGCCTTTTCAAGCTTTCTTTTATGATTATATGTTGTGTCAGTATAATCTTGTTAAAATTTTTGTTGAACTATATTTTGAGAGAGAAAAAAATAATGTAATATTGACCCAAATATGTTTAGAAAAGGAAGCTTGAGACGTCTGTTTTTGTTGAAGTCCTACAGAAATTTGTATGCAACTATTAGAGAAGCCCACTAGAATTCAGAGATCTGGGCCTTTGGTTCTGCAGAATTCTGGCACCCACCAGGAGCAGTAGCTGTGAAAGACTATAATCTTTATCAAGTTT